ATCTGTTCATAGCAATGTGGGTAAGTTTGCACAAGCTGTGCAATCGTCACTCCAGTAAAGTCACGTCATGGTTATTTATAACACATTATGCAGTAGACTGCTTTAAAGCAAGCGGATTTACAGTATTAAACATAGAAAAAAACAACGATAGTGTCACGTTCAGTTAGAATTACAACTTGATTTTCTGCTATAAACCAGCTCTATATGAATTTGTATAGATTGCAAAAGCTAAATAATCAATCAAAGCTTACTGATTAATTAGTGAAATAATCGACGATTAGTCAATTAATTGTATTAATAATCACTAGACTAATCGCTTATCAAAATAATTGTTTGTTGCAGCCCTATTCTTGAGGTCATGATTCATGTAGTAAAACTACATTTCTGGGATATTTTGTTCTGCATATTTGATTTCTGTATGATCAATGTGAGTCTCATTTTTTTTTTTTCCTAATCTTGTTAAATGTATTTGTGATCTTTTGTCAAATTCTTGCATTTTAATCAATAAATTAAAATAATAAGACATTACAAGGCTGTTACCAACCAAATTAAACCAGTATGAACCTGGCTGAGGCTTCAGTGGGAAAAGCCTAGTGAATTAGAGCGATTTGTTCACAAACAAAAAGCTACTAGCTGAAACAGTGCCAGTGTGAAAGCACAACTGCAGTCATGCTGCTTTACTTATTGCTTGTGCATGTGGTGTAAAGCAGGCCTTCGACTGTCCCCACACATGCTTTCGTTTATTCTTCTAATTTTCTTGCCTTCTCTGTTTCTTTTTCTTACTCCCACCATCTCTTTCTTTCTTTCCCTCTCAATGAAGAACGTTTGATGTGTGTTTAACTCAAAGATGGCAGGCAGCTGGCAAAACCTTCAAATCATGTGGCTTTTTTAGCCATTTGCAGCTGCTTGCAGGATTACAGCAACTAAAAAGCAATGGATACACAGCAGTTGTGCAGAGTTAGCAGTGATGGACAGATTGTTTAGATGGAAATTACATTAGAAAAATGTTGTTGGCACACAGACCGCAGACAATACTTTGTAAAAAAAAAAATAAAATAAATAGCTTGGCACCCATATGCTTATTCCTACATAAATGTTGTATCTTAACGTTTGCAGTTACCAGATTACACTTTATAAAACTAAATTATATTTTGCTTTTATAATCACAATGCGCTTTTGCTACTTAAAGATGTTTGCTTAATTAGCTTGATTATGAGGTCAAGTGGTCTTTTTATGTGTGAAAGAACTTTGAGAATGTGCTTCTCCGACCGTGTGGCGGCACGATCTGTGAAAGAGAAACCTCAGTGGTGAGTGCTGAGAACCCAGCGTCAGTCGTTGTAAAGAGCTGCTTTACTGTTGATGGCTGGGAATGCATCATCAGCCTCTTTAAAGAAGTGTTTGGCTGTTGCACTTGAATGGGAATGTGGGCTGTCACAGAGCTGTTTTGGTGCCTTGCTCTGCTTCAGCTGTTGACCACTGGCAGCTTGGCCCAGCTCAGGCGGGCAGCACAGCTGTGAACTCAGAGAACTGCCATAGTGTGTTCAACTTCAGCATATGTGCACTGGAGATACTGTCAGTCTCTGCTGTTTTTTTTTTTTTACCTTTGGACTGCCCTGCTGTTAAATCAAGGTCATAACATCTAAAGGTGGTCAAGCTGGTCAGTCTATTTTATTTTTTTGACATTCCTGTGAAATAAACACAGTCTTAACCCTACCTACACCCCTCAGCTCTTTAGAAGTAAATGCACAACATTTGGCCCAATTGTAGTCCATTTAACATACACAGAAAGTTACAGTCACATTATCTAGGCCTGTTTGGGTAGGGGACACACCAAACTGACGCCAAAGAACTAGCATTTAGGAAAGCTGACTGTGGTGTGGCCTCGCATCAGCTTAGAAGTTGCATTAGAACACACCGGACAATCCAGTCATTTCAGTGCTAAATTCATGTCACTTGATGAACCTCCATAGGCAAAGTACTGTGACATGCAAATTCATAGCACCAACCAACCAATAGCACAGAGTGTCTACTAGGCAGTGTTTTTTGTTTTTTTTTTAACCTACACCTTAGTATTATAAAATGATGCATTAAGTGTCTTTTTAGAAAGCAGTTATTTACAGTTAGATGGTTTGCTAACCAGCAGAATAGCTTTGGATGTTTGATTTGTTGTCATTAATATTTAATTCATGGGCACATCCAGTCCCATTTTCTTTCTCCTGTGTTTAATGCAGTGTTTTAAAGAGAAGAACTAATGTGAACTTTAAAGTAGATGTGAACATACTGACTATCACCAACCCAGTATCTCATGAGAAAACATAACTGTTTTACGAGGTGGATATTTTGCATGAATTTGTGTGATGTAATTTGTATAGAAACATATATGATTTTTAGAAAAAAAGTAATCATAAAGGTCCACCTACCTAACCATCAGAGTGATGTAAACACATTACATGGAAATGTACAAAAGATTGCACATATTCATATAATTTCTCCATCAATTCGCAGGAATGTAAATATTTAATAATTCCCACGAGAGTGTGTTGGACTGTCACCAGTCAAGCTATTTTTACTGTTGCTGGTCCAACACTTCTAAAACTCTAGGACATCCATGAATCAACTTGATTAGGTAGTTGACCATTTACTAGCAGCTGTTAGGGATCTAGCTAAAGTGGTTAACCTTCTTGGCCAAGACCACTTTCTCTGAACACCTCCAAAAGCAGCTTAAACTAAACTAGCCAGAGGTTTTTGCTAGTTTTAGGTGGATAAAGCTAGACTCCCAGACTGGGCAAGCTGGTGTTTAGCTGATTGGCCATATGGTCTAGCCAGAAAGGACATTTACCAGCCGTGACCAAGATGGTCTGCCAGTTCAGCCAGGTTCCTACCAACTGGTAAACTTGGTCAACAACCTAATCCTGTTTTGGATCCATGTAACCAAATACTACTTATAGCAGGTAAGTTTGTACTAGGCTATATCTAGATATAATTGCATTTGACACACTTCCTTGAGATAGAATGTTCTGTGGATTTTTTTTTTTATGCCCAATATTGTGTTTGTGTTCTTCAAATTGCCCTGTTAAGGTGTGTAACTCTGTGGAACAGCAACATACGGCACAAGGCTCCATCCATTCATAGCCTCGGTTCTTAAGCTCTGAGAGAGATTTTGATAAGTGTAAATGTGGGGGTATATTCATAAATAATTACCAGAGAGGCTTTTTCACACTTCCTTTCCTGCTATTGAGTCCTCAGAGAGCACTTGTCAGTGACTTGTGAGTAAACTTAGCTAGTGCTGATAGGGAGGAGGTGGGAACATTTTCAGTAGGCAAGAGGCTGTGCTCTCTCTCGCTATCTTGCTCTTTCTCATTCTTTCTCCCTCTGATGTGTGAGACCGTGTTGAGTCATGAGCTCTGCTACAGGGATCAGAAGGGCTGAGGGGGAAAGTCCCGAGTCTTTTCCGTCTGCACCTGGACACATTCACATTCCACAGCCTACAGGCCTGAATGAAGGACCTGTATGAGTGTGTGGGTGGGTGTGCGCTGCAGTTTGGGCCCTGAAATGTTAAGTATGCTAATGTTATATGAATCCTGTAATTCCTAACCACATGAAACACCTTGGAGTGATATAAATTTAGCAGTTCTCTGTTGATATTTTCTTTTTTTAAAGGGCATGGTCCACCTTAATGTGTGTGTGACTCAAATATGTCGGTTTATGCAACCTCTCACCTGTTTTAGCACAAACACACTCATTATCACACAATCATATGCACACATTTACATAGCTATCTTACAGGGGACTTCCCAGTGACTTTAACTGTTAATTATAGTTGCACAAACCCTAATGTGAACTTACTCTTAAATTTCAGATTTGACCTTTTTATGACAAGGTAAGGATAGTTCAGGTTCTTAGCTTAATTATATTTACAAAGTAATAATTAATGATATTTGTAAATATAGTTTATATCTTGATATAAAAAAAAAAAAAAAAACTTTTAAGACTTTTCTTTCAGCAACTGAGTCAAGCCAAAGCAACTTTATTTTGATAGCACTTTCACAAAATACATATTTTTTTCCAAAGTAGTTAGTTTTACATAACATTGATTATTTTTAATTGAAACTTAATAAGTAAATAAACTAATTTAAAAAAGTATCATTATTTATCTTCAAGCTTTGCCAAACCCCTGTGACTCTTATGTTTTTCTTATATTTTTATTTTGATCAATATCCTCACAAATCTTTAAAATACAAAGGAAATTAATGAGAACTGGGTCTGTCAAGCACTAAAATGACAAAATAAATCATAATAATTGTATCTTAAAGCAGTCCATGTGTCTTGTAAGCTATATTTCAAGTATTCTGATAAGTTTGATGCGTTTTGAAAACTTGTGTGAGGAACAGACTGAAATTTAAATCATTATTTACTGAAAATGTTGATGTGCACTCTGTAGGGGAAAATGAACTGTAAATAACAACTTGTGCCAAACAAAGATATCATGTGGCTTTAGAAGAGTCATATAGACTTATTCTATGATACTTTTAGTGTGCTTTTAAAACTTGAAAGCTCCAGTAACTATTTATTGTAAGTTTGTGGGAAAAAAGTGACCAATACATTCTTCAATTTCTTCTAATGCATTTTTGAAGAAGAAGAAGAAGAAGTAGAAGAAATAAAGTCTGGAATGATGTTTGGAACAACATGAGGGTGAGCTAATGATGGCAGACTTTTCATTTCTGGTTCAGCTTATCCATTGGAAAAGGGAAAAAAGGGGGAAAATCCCAAGACTCCCTGAGATTAGTCTCTAAAAGTATAGGTTGTTCAGAAACACACAGGTCTTTCTCCCTGCCTTGCCTTTTGACTGATTGTGTAAGTGTTTAAAAGACCAGAGCTCGGAAGGAATGCTCTCCTGATAGCTTAAAATAACAGTAGGACGGGGTTTTACACTCATACGGGCCAGAACCTTGTTGTTTCCGGAATCATCTTTGACCTTCTCTCTTTTGTCCATTCCACAGGTTCTTGTGTGGGAGCTGAGGCCTTTCCCAGTCACAACAGAAACCAGAGGCTGAGGTTGATTTCATGACTTCCTCCTCATTGTTTGCCTGTCTGTGTGACTGGAAACCGGTAGTGACAGACAGATGACTCTGGTTGCTCTTAAACTGAACTTGTGGAGAAACTGGACCTAGCTCCCCTTTAGAAGTAGTCACTAATCAAGGCCGACGGCAGAGTGCCATGCTTTTCCCTCACTTCTGAGGCGACATAACCTGTCATGCTGACCTTGTTGCTCAACTCTGTTTTCAGCTTGATGTCCAAATTATCCCGGCGCATTGCTGCCAAGTTGCTGCAGGGGTTTACACACAATCCTGCACCCAGTGGTCATTGTGAGTATTTTGCTCTCTCCTCTATTATCCTTTTTCATTTAGTGATGAGAGTGAGGCTGAATAGCAGGAATACGCTGCCGTATTGAGGTCAGAGATGGGGATCTGGCCTCTTCAGCTGGATATTTAAAGCACCACAGTGAGCACTAACTTTGAAAAACAGGACTCGTATATTGACAAGAGACGTTACAAGAGCATTGATAGCTTAGCCAGATGCTAGGCCCCCTGTGTGGGTGTGTGCATGGATGCCTGTATCCTATGCTGTGTGTGTGTGTGTGTGTGTGTGTGTGTGTGTGTGTGTGTGTGTGTGTGTGTGTGTGTGTGTGTTTGTAGCTGTGTTCTGAGTTGACGGTGAGGTCAGATGTCATTCATTACATTAACCATTTTGGCTATGCCCTTTCGGTACAAATGTAAACACACATAATGCACAGTGAAGTGCATGTGATTTATTTGTATGTATCTAGAGGCAATATAGATAAATGCATTTGCCTGTCATTTGCACTTGTTTTATCTTATGGTGGATTCAGGCTGTGTCATTACTATTGATTACTGCAAACAGGCTGAATAAGGGAAATCTTAGTTATGAATTGGTATACAATGATTCATTTGACTACTGTGAGTATGTTTTTTTTACATTTCATGTCTTACTAAATGGTCAGTGGATGGGACTAAGGGTTGTTTACACAACACTGTTTTCAAGTAAAAACTGAAAACCTTTTATCCGTTTTGGCCATTAATTCACACGACAATGGTGTTTCGAGGGCCTGAAAATGGACACTTTTGAAAACTTATTTCAAAGTGCAAGTTTTTGAAAACTATACGGTTATCATTTTTCTGTGTATACTACAAAAATGTGAATTTGTGAAAACAGTGATGTCATTTATGTGCATATTATTTGTTCAGGCTATAGGGGTGTGCACAGGTGCGTAGTGTTTCTTTACAAAGTGACCGCCAATTACTGGCTTGGCATGCATAATACAGCATTTTTAGTCATTTTTGGTGATTGTTTTGACAAAGTTGTCATTTGTACGTGAAACTTTTCCAAAAACGCAAAGGAAAACCGGTCACACTTTAGTTTAGGAACCAATTTTCAGTATTAACTAATTACTATGAATTTTGCCTCAATAAACTCCTAATTTGCTGCTTATTAATTGTCAGTATTTGTAAAGTTTAGGTATGGGGTAGGATTAAGGGATCTAAAATATGGGCATGCAGAATAAGCCATTAATATGTGCTTTATAAGTAAAGGCTTTCTTTTTAGATATGTCATTAAGGCAAAAACGTCAATTATACTCTTATAGCTCCAGTGACATTATCACTGTGACTTTCTCCAGTTTTGAATGCAGTGACCGGGCACTGCGCATATGCTGAAGTTTGGAAAATGTGTAATGCACTTGTAAATGGATTTTTAAATCAGAATGCAGGGTTTAGGGTGCCTGTGAACAGAACTTTTAAAAACTGAAATCGGATTAGATTCATTCCAATCGATGATAATTAATGCATGTAAACATACCTAATGTGTGTGGTGATAACAGCACTGACTGTACATAGGTCAGTGACATTTAAGAGTGTCTAAGATAAAGAAAATCTATTTAAATTTAATGTGCCAAGTTCTTATAAATGGACTCTGTGTATTAATGTTTGTTTCGTATGACTTTGAAAACCCTTTATTGCCTTTAAAATGAAAGTTTCAATTTAAAGGGGTGGTTCAGTGGTTGTTTTCTAGGCTTGATTGTGTTTATGGGGTGCAGTCTAACATGTGTTAATGCTTAGTTTTTAAAAAAACGCATTATTTTTTCACATAATTTACCTTTATTCCACATCGCTCTGTCCCTTCTCTGAGAAACGCGCTGATAAATTTCCTTCTTTTATGAAGCCCCTCCCTCAGAAATAGGCGATGGGCTCTGATTGGTTAGCTTTCTCTGAGAAACGGGCTGATCTTTTCCTGTTTTTATGAAGCCCCGCCCTCAGAAATAGGCGATGGGCTCTGATTGGTTAGCTAGCCCAGTGTGTTGTGATTGGCTAAACCGTCTCTAGTGCGCATCTAAACGTCCCACCCCTCACCTCAGCAGCATGTGCTTTGATTTTGAATCTTGTGAATCCATTAGAATCGTTAGAAGACAGAATCGCGATTCATATATGAATAGATTGTTACGTGCACCTCTAGTTTTCTCTTCCTCTTCTCTAAAGCAGCGCAGCATGGCCTTGCCCCCTTTGCTGCCTTTTCCCGAGGGCGGGGTTTATCTGGGTTTGTGATGTCACGAACCCGGGAAGTAACTCGTTGTAGTCCCTACCAGCCGTTTTTGTAGGCATTAAACTGCCAGAATTTTAAAAGACGATATCTCCGTTTGCATTGAACTTTCAGCTTCGTAACTTTGCAGATATTGTTTATGCTCAAACAGCAACATTACACACTAACTAACGTTAATAAAGTGAAATCACAGTGAACCACCCCTTTAAAGAAAATGTCATGTGGTGTAACCAGGTAAAAAATAGCACATTTGCTTTATACTTTGAGTGTGTTAACAATTTAATCATTATTTACCATAAACTTTTAAACTCATTTCTCAAGGTAAAAAGTATATTTTGCTAGTATCACAAATTACTAATTAATAAATATCACTATTTTTGGCCAGTCGCACCACATGACATTTTACAACCTGAACTGCCCTTGCCTTGTCATAAAAAGGACATTTATCTGATATTTTAAGAGACTTAATGACCTTGGCACACAGTAATGAGGGTCTTCAGAGGACCGATGTTATTTCTTATTTTATTTTATTTTATTTTATTTTATTTTATTTTTTAAAGAAATAACATTAAAAGATTACACCAAACTACTTTAAGGTTTTCAATTTTCATAATTTTAATGAGACGTTCTTCTCCCTGTGTGTCAAATTAAGTAACATTTAATGGTTTTGTGGAGCTCAAACTGTGTTTTACGCAACCAAGCAAAAATACTTGAATGTTTTTAGTGTCCTCCATGCATTTATTGACTGTATATTTGACTGATTTGTGTTCTCTCAGCTGCTTGGGGTCTACTGACCTACTTGCTTACAATGACAGGGCTGTTTCTTCCTGGTGGTAACAAATTGTGAACGGGGGCATCCTGCAGGCTTGGAGAAAGGGTGTTGCATGGGACTCCCACCATTACTCTAGCGCTCTCTCTCTCCTACCATCTTTTCTTCTGTTCGGGGCCGCTCAGTTACCCTGTGTTGGCTCTTTCCCGTTTGACCTCCCCCACAGGAAGAACCGGTGACAGACTCTGAAATCCAAGCACTCTCTAGAGACTCGTGTGTGTTACAGCTTTATCCAGGCAGTGTTGGGCCATAGCATGGCTACAAATACTGAAGCTATTAGTTTAACTAACTTTAAGTAGTGACATGGTAGTGAGGCTTGTCGTTTTTTTTCTTCTTTCTTTTACAGTAGCAAAGATATCCTAATCCCAAAAATGTTATATGAAAATATGGCGTTAGAAAATCTTAAATTATATCTGATATGCAAATAAGGCCTTAGAAAATCTTCAATGATATTTCATAGGCGAATAAGGCCTTAGAAGTCTTTAATTATTTTTTTGGTTGGTGGTTTACTTGATTATCCAGACACCAGTTTTAGAAAAATAATGTTAACAGAGTGTCAAATATGATACATCAGGCTTTTGAGGAACGTTTATTTGTTCTTCTTTCAGTCGTCATGGTATTGTATGACATTGTTTTGACGACTGAAAGAAGAACAAATAAACGTTCCTCAAAAGCCTGATGTATCATATTTGACACTCTGCCCAAAAAAAAAAAAGGAAAAAAAAAAAAAAAAAACTACAGAGATTTGATCATAAAACTAAGCAACTAAGCTTTTAAGTATCATCTTACTAATAAACTATTTATATGAGTGACAAGGTATGAGTGGCGAGTGATATTTTGTGTGTTTTATGTAAGTAGTCTGTTATACTGTTATAAAGATCTCAGTACTCTTACTTTTTGGCCATATAATTTTCATATATTTTTGCTTAGCTTGGGCCTCTGACTGAATCTGACTGAACCTATATATATATAAGGCAAATATATATTTGTTTTGTTTTGACTGATTTTTTTTTCTCTCTCTCTCTCATTCTCTGACTATTATTTCATAAGTCAGGCTAAGGGTTAATGATTTAGTAGAGTAGCATTCACATTCTCTACTACATTACCTAACATTATTCTGGCACTCAAAGTGGGTGTCCTTTTGGCTGTTTAGAATTAAAGATAGTGTTAGCAAAACAGTATGAATCAGTTTACGATTCAGGCTGAATCATTCTGACAGCTCACTCGGGCACTGAATCACTGGAGCTATTTCCCACGCAGTAAAACAATAACAGGATTTAAATAACAAAGAACAAAGAGATTTTTTTAAGTTTTCTTTTTTCCCCCCAATTTGTAGTACATTTTGTTATTTAGGCAAATGCTATTGTTTTGAACAATGTTTTATTAACAATGAATTAAACGCTCATTGCTTCTCTCATGTCTAAAAGACTATCTTAAAGACTGCATTTATAATGCTGTCCTCTGAAGATCACCATGCACAGCAGAAATTGTCAGCTCTCATGTCTAGCTCGTCCTCAAGCTTGTATTGTGAATTAATAACATGAGAAGTGTATACGATCAATAATAGATGCCACTATGACTTCTGCCCCCAGACTAGACAGAAGACTATGAATTATGGATTGATTTTTCATGCTATAGAGAGCTTTTTATTTTCTTGTTTTGCCCAAGTACAGAGCTGAGTAGTTACTGGTTACATGCAATGTGGATTACGTAATCAGATTCCAAAAATCAAGTACTTGGAATTAGATTATATTACATTTTATAATGCTCATAATCAGATTACAGTTGCTTTTTTTATGAATTACACAATTGCATATTATTCACACAATGGCACTAAATTGTTCAGAATTGATTGATTCTCCCTAATTCTTCTTTTTTCTCTTTTAAATTTTCCTTTCTAAAAATCCTACTGTTTGTCATGCC